TACCCTAAACTCTTTTTCTTGACTTTATTATTATCTTTAAAACCCCCTAAACTTTTTTTTTACCTTTTTTACCTTTTTTTACCTTTACCTTAGGCGTGAACTTAGTTCTGTATAAAACCCCTTTAGCTCCTTTTTTCCCTTTCCTTGCTCCTAGACGAGTCATATAATACTAAATAAAACTTAATACTGTATAAAACCCCTTCAACTCTTTTTTTTTCTCTCTTTCCTTGGTCCCAGACGAGTCCTATAATTACGGCGCGAACTTAATACTATATAAAAACCCCTAAACTCTTTTTTTTCTTTCCTTGCTCCTAGACGAGTCCTATAATACTATTAAAACTTAAATACTAATAAAACCCTCTCAACTCTTTTTTTTCTCTCTCCTATTTCTAGAATGAGTCCTTATAATTACGGCGTGAATTCCACACTTTATAAAACCCTCTTAGCTCTTATTTTCCCTTTCCTTGCTCCTAGACGAGTCCATATAATTCATATATAAACTTAATACTAAATAAATAGCCCCTAACTCTTCTTTCTTTTTCCCTTTCCTTGTCCCAGAAGAGTCCTAAATTACGGCGCGAACTTAATACTATATAAAAACCCCTAAACTCTCATTTTTATTTACCTTATTATTACCTTTGTTTACCTTTACCTTAGGCGTGAAAAAAAAACCTCAACTCTTTTTTTCTTTCTTTCCTTGCTCCCAGACGAGTCCTGTAATACTAAATAAAACTTAATACTATATAAAAACCCATCAACATTTTTTTTTTCTCTCCCATTTCTAGATGAGTCCCTATAATTACGGCGTGAATTCCACACTTTATAAAACCCTCTTAGTTCTTATTTTCCCATTCCTTGCTCCTAGACGAGTCCTATAATTCTATATAAAACTTAATACTAAATAAATAGCCCTTAACTCTTCTTTTTTTCCCTTTCCTTGCTCCCAGAAGAGTCCTATAATTACGGGCGCGAACTTAATACTATATAAAAACCCTAAACTCTCATTTTGATTTACCTTATTATTACCTTTGTTTACCTTTACCTTAGGCGTGAAAAAAACCCTCAACTCTTTTTTTCTTTCTTTCCTTGCTCCCAGACGAGTCCTATAATACTATATAAAACTTAATACTAAATAAAACCCACTCAACTCTTATTTTTCTCTCTCCCTATTTCTAGATGAGTCCTTATAATTACGGCGTGAATTCCACACTTTATAAAACCCTCTTAGCTCTTATTTTCCCTTTCCTTGCTCCTAGACGAGTCCTATAATACTAAATAAAACTTAATACTAAATAAATAGCCCTTAACTCTTCTTTTTTTCCCTTTCCTTGCTCCTAGAAGAGTCCTATAATCGCGCGAACTTAATACTAATATAAAAACCTAAACTCTCATTCTTATTACCTTTATTATTTCTTGTTTACCTTTACCCTAGGCGACACTTAATAGTTAAAAAAAACTCTTTTTTACCTTATTATTACCTTTTTCTTTGCCTTTAACTTAGGCGTGAACTCAATACTATAATAAAAAAAACTCAACTCTTTTTTTCTTTCTTTCCTTGCCCCAGACGATCCTGTAATACTATATAAAATTAATACTAAATAAAACCCACTCAACTCTTTTTTTTTCTTTTTTCTCTATTTCTAGATGAGTCTATAATTAACGCGTGAATTCCACACTTTAATAAACCCTCTTAGTTCTTATTTCCCTTTCCTTGCTCCTAGATGAGCTCATATAATACTATATTAAAACTTAATACCATATAAAACCCTTCAACTCTTTTTTTTCTCTCTTTCCTTGGTCCCAGACGAGTCCTATAATTACGGCGCGAACTTATTATTATATAAAAACCCCTAAACTCTTTTCTTTCTTTCTTTGCTCCCAGCGAGTCCTTAATTCTATTAAAAACTTAATACTAAATAAATAGCCCTTAACTCTTTCTTTTTTCCCCTTTCCTTGCTCCCAGAAGAGTCCTATAATTTCGGCGTGAACTTAATACTATATAAAAACCCTAAACTCTCATTCTTATTTACCTTTATTATTACCTTTGTTTCCTTTACCTTAGGCCGTGAAAAAACCCTAACTTCTTTTTTTCTTTCTTTCCTGCTCCTAGACGAGTCCTATAAACTATATAAAACTTAATACTAAATAAAACCACTCAACTCTTTATTTTTTTCTCTTCCCTATTTCTAGATGAGTCCCTTATAATTACGGCGTGAATCCCCACACTTTATAAAACCCTCTAGTTCTTATTTTCCCTTCCCTTGCTCCTAGACGAGTCCTATAATTCTATATAAAACTTAATACTGTATAAAACCTCTTCAACTCTTATTTTTTCTCTCTCTTTCCTTGGTCCCAGACGAGTCTATAATTACTGCGCGAACTTAATACTATATAAAAACCCCTTAACTCTTTTTTTCTTTACCTTATTATTACCTTTGTTTACCTTTACCCTAGGCGACAACTTAATAGTTAAAAACAAAACTCTTTTTTACCTTATTATTACCCTTTTTCTTTGCCTTTACCTTAGGCGTGAACCAATACATATAAAAAAACTCAACTCTTTTTTTCCCTTTCCTTGCTCCAGACAGTCCTATAATACTATATAAAACTTAATACTAAATAAACCCACTCAACTCTTTTTTTCTCTTTCCCTATTTCTAAGACGATCCTTATAATTACGGCGTGAATTCCACACTTTATAAAACCCTCTTAGCTCCTTTTTTCCTTTCCTTGCTCCTAGACGAGTCCTATATTATTCTATATAAAACTTAATACTAAATAAATAGCCCTTAACTCTTTTTTTTTCCCTTTCCTTGCTCCCAGACGAGTCCTATAATTAGGGCGCGAACTTAATATTATATTAAAACCCCTAAACTCTTTTTCTTTCTTTCCTTGCTCCTAGACGAGTCCTATAATACTACATAAAACTTGATACTAAATAAATAGCCCTTAACTCTTCTTTTTTCCCTTTCCTTGCTCCCAGAAGAGTTCCTATAATTACGGCGCGAACTAATACTATATATAAAAACCCCTAAACTCTTTTTTTCTTTACCTTATTATTACCTTTGTTTACCTTTACCCTAGGCGACAACTTAATAGTTAAAAAAAAAACTTTTTTTTACCTTATTATTACCTTTTTTCTTTGCCTTTACCTTAGGCGTGAACTCAATACTATATAAAAAAAACTCAACTCTTTTTTCCCTTTCCTTGCTCCAGACGAGTCCTATACATACTATATAAACTTAATACTAAATAAAACCCACTCAACTCTTTTTTCTCTCTCCCTATTTCTAGACGAGTCCTTATAATTACGCGGCGTGAATTCCACACTTTATAAAACCCTCTTAGCTCTTATTTTCCCTTTCTTGCTCTAGACGAGTCCTATAATACTTATAAAACTTAATACTATATAAATAGCCCTTAAACTCTTCTTTTTTCCCCTTCCTTACTCCCAGAAGAGTCCTATAATAATGGCGCGAACTTAATACTATATAAAAACCCCTAAACTCTCATTTTTCTTTACCTTATTATTACCTTTGTTTACCTTTACCTTAGGCGTGAAAAAAAAACGCAACTTTTTTTTTCTTTCTTTCCTGCCTTAGACGAGTCCTATAATACTATATAAACTTGATACTAAATAAAACCCACTCAACTCTTTTTTTTTCTTTTCCTATTTCTAGACGAGTCTTATAATTAAATTCCACACTTTTATAAAACCCTCTTAGCTCTTTTTTCCCTTTCCTTGCTCCTAGACGAGTCCTATAATTCTATATAAAACTTAATACTAAATAAAACCCCTTCAACTCTTTTTTTTCCCTTTCCTTGCTCCCAGAAGAGTCCTATAATTACGGCGCGAACTTAATATTATATAAAAAACCCTAAACTCTCTTTTTTATTTACCTATTATTACCTTTGTTTACCTTTACCTTAGGCGTGAAAAAAACCCTCAACTCTTTTTTTCTTTCTTTCCTTGCTCCCAGACGAATCCTATAATTCT